GCTAAAGGGTTGGAAAGCAAAGTCTGGAAGCTCTGCAGCGCTCCCCCGAGCTCTGATTCCAGGCAGAACCTTTTCTTGTTTTCCAAAGAAGTTCTGAAATCACAATGACAGGGAGGTGTAAAGTCCCATTCCTCACAGGGAGGTATTAACTCCCAAGCCTAGTTATCTTTCCACTTAAATGGCAACAGTGTTAACCTTTTCATTGAGTCAGAAACATTGCACTTTTCTGGGATGGGCCAGTGGAGCTGTTTTTAGAATGTTCCACATTTTCTAAAGGAATCCTCCAGAGGAGAAAAGATGCTGATCTTGCTTGGATATGCACATGGCACCAAGGCTTTAGCCCAAAGGAATAAGTGGATTCTTTGAAAGAAGAAATAAAGTTTGCTGAATGTAAGAATCAAAATTTAAAAAGTAAATTAGTGATGATTCACAGGGAAAGAGAGGTGAAAATAAAGTTTGTTTAAGCCAGAGGTGTTTGAGGTAGAGAGAAAATTAGTCTTAGTTTCTCACATTATCTATTATGCTAGGCATGGCGAGATGGGGAATTCCCCTTGCAGTTTAACTGAAGGACTTTAAGTTTTATTTCTATTCCATGGCAAGAAGTGAAGCCTTCTTACAATAATAGATCAAAAATGCACCTTTGGTTTGACAATCACATTTGCAGTAAAATGTGAAAAAGTTTCCCATTTGCTTTTCCCCATAGTTGGCATAAATCTCTAGCATATTAGTCAGAATAAAGCTGTTGAGAATAAGACCCATGGAGAGAGTTAGTTCATCATGATGTGTTTTGACATTCCTTCTGTCAGAAGTGGTCACTTTATTTATTTATTTAAATAAATTTATTTATTTGTTTGTTTTTATTTTTGGCTGCGTTGGGCCTTCGTTGCTGCGTGAGGATTTTCTCTAGTTGAAGCAAGCGGGGTCGCTCTTCATTGCGGCGCGTGGGCTTATTGTGGTGGCTTCTCTTGTTGTGGAGCACGGGCTCTAGGTGTGCAGCCTCAGTAGTTGTGGCACGTGGGCTCAGTAGTTGTGGCTCGCAGGCTCTAGAGCGCAGGCTCAGTAGTTGTGGCGCACAGGCCCAGTTGGTCTGTGGCATGTGAGATCTTCCCGGACCAGGGCTCAAACCCATGTCCCTGGAATTGGCAGGCAGGTTCTTAACCACTGTGCCACCAGGAATGCCCAGAACTGGTCACTTTAGAACAAAGTCAGACATCAACACCGGTTTCCTGGCCCCGGTGGATACCACGAACTGGTGGTGGGGTGGTCCACCTCGACACAGGCCATTAGAGGAGGCACAGTCCTTGGAGAATTCCAGAACAATAATGAAACCAGCTGAAAGTTGGTCTGCTTTGTGTTATTACCGTGAGCAGTGATTCTGAGCAGCTTCAGTGTTTACATACCCTCCCTGCAGGGGTCGTGGACTCCCTCTGTCTACCTGCATGGTACGCCATTGTCTGCCACCCATAATGGGGCAGATGCAGAAAAAGGCAATGGCTTCAATATACAAATGAATCTGAAGTGCTGAAATGAATCTGCGCGTGTAGGGTAAAGAAGTTCTAATGGATTTTGTCTAACGTTGCCACAAGTTGCTGTGGAATGATAATTAAACTCGTTCCTACAGAGCGCTTACTATGCTCCAGTCGGTGGCTGGGGCCGACGATCCAATGGCGAGAAGCCAAACACCATCCTGCCCTTAGAAAGCTTGCAGCCTGGTGGGGAAGACAAAAGTTACAGCAGCCAGTGTAAGGGTGCACCTGTGTCAGGCTTAAGAGAGGGCAGAGTGGAGGTATTTGACTTGGTTAGTGAGGTTCAGGAAAGCCTTTTTGAGGAAGAGGTATAGTAGTTCTTCCAAGATTATTTGTCACACCAGAAACTAAAAATAAATAAAGAGAATTTTTTGCTTACAAGCAGCTAGTCATGAAATCTCTAAATCTTTGGAGTAAACCCCACTGCTGGAGACACATCCCGTATCCTCCTAGTGTTGCATAGCTTTTCACTCCAGTGGGCCTGGGGCCTGGCTGGAGGCCATGCTGACAAGTCTGCTCAGGGCCCCCTCTCAATACCCCTCCTCCAGGCACACTCCTTACATCAGTGGTTCTTGGGCTGCCTGTACATTACTACCATCTGAGAGCTTTAAAAAAAAAAAAAAAAAATCCATGTCGAGGCCCCACCCTGGACCAGTTAAATCAGAATCTTGGAAACATAGTGGGGAGGGGGAGTTCAGGCATCAATATGTTAAAAAAAAAAAAAACACCCCAGATGATTCTCATATGTAGCCAGAGCAGAGAACTACTGCCTTAGATGAATGCACTTAATTTCACTTAGTCCAGTAATAATAATTTAAAATTTTACATTAAAAAACTTGAGAATGCAAAGGGAATTACGTCAGTGAGAGGTGTGTGAGTGCTTGTGTGTGCACACACACGTGAGGGTGATGGTGCTTGGTCTTCTTGCATGTCATATGCTTTCCGTCTCTGTGGCATGTGGTGGAAACACAGCGAATGGCTGGAGGATGGAATTTCTTGGACTCAAGAACCAGGTTGATTATCAGAGGCAGACCGTTCCAAGCTCCATGGAGTGTGATGCAGAGGCAAATACACGGTTTAATAAAGAAGCAAATTTCTGCCTTTCTGTCTCCACTTCTAATCACTCCAGCCCTCCTCTCCTTTCTCTTCCACTGCTGTTTTATTTACTCTCATAAATTATGAGACTTTATATAAAATCCTGTAGCCCCTTTGAGGAAGCACAGTCAAACCTTAATGGGTTTTTTTGCCCTTTAAGAACATAAAAAGCATTATGAGCACCTTACATGTAAGTGGAATGAATATATTTTTGCCACTAATGTTGAAAATATCCCCAGGCATCTGGTGTGTATGAATGTGTATACATAGTACATGCATAATAAACATCTTCCACCTTATGAATATTTATACACAAGATACATATATATTGAATATAGACATACATATGTAAATAGTAGCCCTTGTAAACTATATGCCAAGTATGTTTCCAAGCATATGCATCATAGTGCATCAGGAATATAATAAACCTACCACCAAGTTTAGCATATTTTGAGGTGGTGTCTTCTACAGAGTTGTGGTAGGGTCTAGTTACTAACCATGTATGGGTTTCTTTTCATCACTGAATGTTTGTTAAGCACCAACTAAAAGTAAGGCGCAAAAAAAAAAAAAAAAGTAAGGCGCTGGGCATAGTAGAGTAAGAAAGATGAAATAGATGTGGTCCCTGCCTTCAAGAGACCTGCACCTCACAGAGCGCCTTAAAATTCACTTAAGAATCTGACATGTTTGCTACCCATTGGCATCTTATCGCTTTTTATACAGCTGCCTTTTATGTATACACTGTGCTTTAAAATGGGCCCCATTTAAGGCTCTATTGGCTTAAACACTGATGTAGCTGCCTAGTAGACCTGATGCTGTGAGAAGAAACATCACTGGTTTCAGTGCCTTGATTGGACGTGAGCATGCTTACACATTTTTTCTGTCACACATAGTCCAATCCTGCATTTTTATTTTACTCTGATTTGGTAGAGGGGGGGATAAAAGGTAAAATTAAAAGGCACCAAATCCCAGAGATGTTTGTAAATCTCAAAAATACTTTTTGTAACCCCAGTATTACTACCATGACAGCCCACTTCCAAATTCCATCAGTTCCCTCCCTGCAATAAGTGACAGAAGCCTTTATGAAAGGCAAGCTGTACATTCTAAAATGTACAGAGTGGTGATCCCTTTCTAAAACGACAATCCCCAGTCTAGCTGAGAGCTCTGAGTGATACTTGTCAGGGGCAGATTTCACGCCATTAAAAGAGAAACAATACATCAGCGCTGTCATCGCTATGCACAGATGTATGCTCATTGTTTTCTCCCCCTCAGTCCATACATCACAACAGGTAGTTCTCAGCTGTTCCCCTGGTGCCAGACATACATTTTATCTAAAGAGACAGCAGATAGAACTACCTGCTGCTTCCTGTGCGGCTCTCCCTGTGTTTCTCTCCCTTCTCCTACTTCACTTGGGCTTTTTAAAATCAGCTGGCAGGGAGCCAGGAGCTCATCATTTTAATGCAGTGCAAAATGGAATATGCATAATTATATGCAAGCCATATGTGAGGGAGACAGCTCAGCTGTGAATTTCAGGAGGCCAGGAAAGAGAGAGCAGTTAGGGCTGAGATAAGAGGAGTGCTGAGCATGAGTGCAAGTGTCACCCAAATGAATGGTTTAATGAGTGTGCTGCAGACACGCCTCCTTTCACCTACCTCTTTCTTCTCTCCAACTCCAAACCAGAAACCAATGGAGATTAGAAAGGGAAGACTGTATGCAAGGGGTATTGCTAATGGGTTCTGTTAATGTCTCCATTTAAACTTCAGCTTTCTTAATTAACAGTGTAGATGAAAATAACCAGTAACTTTTAATGCAGCTTCTTAATTAAATCTTTTTTTTTTTTTACTGCATTTGATTGAAGAATCATTGTTCTTACTAGATCATTACTCCTTTTAGATCTTTATTTAAAAATTGAGGGGAATCAGTTTATCTCTAATAATATTACAATGCAAAATATAACTCTGCAAATTGCTTTTCTTATGGCCTTGCTATTAGAATTTTTTAAAAGTGCATTATCTAGAGATTGCTTAAGCATGCCAAAAAGTTTAAACACGTATGTATGTCATATAATCCTAAATGTGCAACAAAAGTCACTGGAAGTCTGAAGTGTTGGTAATTTTCAACAAAATTATTTGCTTTTGGTTTGTTTCGTATCACTTTAAATATTACACCACAATGAATTTGCATGTTCAAACTGAACTATGTAAAGAAAAATAAATCCCAAATTTTGATACCTAAAAGGCGTACTGCGTATTTAAACAAATTTCTTATTAATGTTGTGATTTCTGGATTCCCGTTTGTTTAATGAACTGAGCTGTTATGCTTTTAGCTTTTTTTCTTCCATTATTTGTAAGTCCCTAAATAGGCCATTATATTTCCCTTCAGGCTAGAGATGAAGATGGACATGCTGAAAATTTTCCCCAGCAGCACTATGCTAAGGAAACTCCAAGGCTTGCCTTCAAGAATAACTGCGAACTACTTGTAAGAATAACATACTTACAACAAGTCTAGAATGTTACTTTAGCACAGTGAAAACAGTTTTTGAAAGGGTTTGTTCATTATTACATAAGTTTTGAAGTATTATAGTTTTTCTGTATAGAGTTCTAAATGCTAATTCTGATATCACTGAATATTAATTATAAGATCTCAACTTGTTTGCAAATCTTTTGTATCTGATTATAGAGCTTGGATGGCCCTGTCTTTATTAGCTTGTTCTGTATAGTAGTTGATAAGCAGCCATTTGGAGAATGGCTAGTAAAGTTAAAAATACAGAAAAAGACAGTTGATGTATGTAGCTTGGAAAGAAAAAAAAAAAAATCCCATCCCCATCCCTCCTCCTACTTCCTAATTGTACACTATTTTAGGAGACAACATGGTAATATTTTGTTCTGCTAGGAAAGATAGCAGAGTTGACACGCAGTACTCCCTTTAGAATTCAAGTATTCCTACACTCTCTTGCCAAACTCAATCAGGCGCTTTCTCTCTCCTATGTAGAAGTCAAAGCAGCGACAGGATGCGGGGATGTTTCCAAGTCGTGAGAGAGAGGATCTCAGCTGTGACAGGGACTCTGTTCCAATGCAGGGTTAATTTGCTGTTCATTTTAGCATTTATAGCGAGACAAGATGAAAAGCGAGCAGGAATGCCTATTATATTTCTATTAAATGAATCTGTTGGGACCTAATGTTCTTGATTAGCTTTTGAAAACGAGTGCTCTGCAATGCATTTTCTGTTTACCTAAAGTAAACAGAGAATGAATTGTCATTTATTTAGAGATTCAAACACTGCTTTTGAAAATGAAGCTTTATGAGGGATCTAGCTATGTTGTCCCTAAATGTTCTTTTCTTTTCAATTGCATTAAAGCAAAACATTTGCTCCAACTAAATGAAAACACTGAAAGAGAATGAGGATGCTCACTTGTTACATTTTGAGGTAGTCTCTTTTTCTGTTTAGTTTTTTGGCCTAACAGCACAGCCCTGCCAGGTCTCTGCATTAGGAAATCCCACATGTAACAGTCTTTGGACTTAGCTCTGATACCAACTGTTCATTAAAAACAAAGTGTCCAAAGAGCAGGAGAGGAGAGAAAAATACAGTTCTTTCTCATTCTAGCCACAGTAGCTGGATGTTGACAGTAAGAAACTCCTTCCCACTCCACAGTTTGCATGGTTTACAATAGCATCACTTATTCTGTGTGTCGTCCCTTCACCAACCAATCCACAGGCAAATTTGTTGCTTATGAGTGCAGGTTTTTTCCCTGAAATTTTAACTCACCTTATGTTTTATCTTAGGGCTCTTAAACCTCCAGGCTTGCTAGCATTACCTGTTTGGGGGAAACCCTTTTCTTTCATTTTCATTTTAATGTTTTACTCCGTAACTCTGATTTTCTAGCAGAAGACTATAGGGGCCATTTATACTATGTTTTGGTATCAAAATGCTTTTGAGAGTAGCTTACTTCTTTTTAGAGATATTGTTAAAACTAATATGCCATATTTGATTTTTTTTCCTATTTATTGGAAAAATGAATGTGCTTGAGTTCTGGTTGTGGTCAGTTTATACTGGAGAAAGTAAAACATATATGTGAATATCTTTTCCAGCTATCTTTAGAGAAAATATATGTTTAGTCATTGCTGTGCTTAAACACGATATTGTGTTGGCAGTAGTTTTGAGAGATTGGTACAATCTTTGTCCTTTTAGTCGCTGTTAGAAATGCTTTATTTCGGTCAGTACACTTTCTTGTGATAAAAGAAAAAAAAAGAAATAGAGAGAAAAAACAAGTAAGCTTATTTCTCCAAGGAGAATTGTAATTTTTTTCAGTTGCAAGAGAAAGGATGGTGTTCGGCTGGTTATGAAGCCCTGAGAAGTTATGCTTCTATATGAAAATGATTTGTTCATTCATAAGAGAGAAATAGGAAGTCCTTGGAGTTTTCTTAGTGCAGCTTAGGGCAAATTTTAAAAAGACTTGGTGAGAGAAGATTGCAAGCCCCACTCCAAAGGGCTTTTCTTACCTTAAGGGTGGGTCTGCCATCTTACATGGTTCGCTGGAACAGGGGTGGCTTTAGAAAGTGGAGGAGCTCTTTGGAAGATGGTGATGGCTCTTGGGAGAAAGCCTTGAGGGCACAGGTTACTTCCAGGCTCCCAGGTGATCAGGAACACATGGCTGGAAGGCTAACCCTCTGGGCCACAGGTGCTGACAGAAAGTGCCCTGGCCAGGTAGATGGGACATGGCCTCTGACTTTATAACTGACTATTGATTGTCTCTGCTTCTTGGAAGAGGAGGAATATTAAGTAACCTAAACAAAAGCAAAGTAGAATCAATTCCTAGAATACACAAGTGTGTGTAATCTGAAGGCACTGACAAAGAAAGCATTGGCTGATAGAAAAACCTGCTATGTGACTGTCGATTTCCTGTAGGTATTGCTTTGCCCATTTAAATCTCAAACTGTGATACACTTAATGTACAACACAGATGACTAGATATTTAGCTTGGTGGCCAAGATTCTTTGGTTGGTGACTGTGTAGCAGTTTCCTTATGCTTTTTATTAATTTTGAAAATGCAAGGCTGTCAAGATGAGTGGCATTAGATAAAACTTGAGTATTAGTTGATATATCACAATTCACTGTGGCCCCATCTACCTCTTCATAGGTAGATGTATGTACACACACACACACACACACACACACACACACACACACACCCTCCTCAGGGTCTTTTGCTGGCTTAAGTTTATGACCAAAGCAAATAGCTTTCAGTAAAAGAAAATGTGGGAAATTCACCTCACTTTAACAATACAGCATCATGGCTTATGAGAGCCCAGAAGAGGGAACACTCAGAGCCAGCCTCAATGACCAGCCCTTGTCCCAAATCCCAACTCTGTTGCCAGTCCCTTTACCATTATTGCCTCATTCTTTTGGGACTAGAAGGCCTTCTCATTTCCCCTATTAAAATGCTCATATTGATGGTGGGAATTGCATTAAGAGCCAGAGTGGAAGGAGGACCTAAATCACACCTCTCTTAAGCTAGTACTTGCTCAGTTCTTGAAAGCCACCTGGAGCAACACCTAGCAGAAGTATAGCATAAGCTGAGTCCTTGGAGGGAGAAGACTTCTAGCTAGAAAAAAGGGAACGTTGAAAGAGTTTGGGGAAGGAATTGAAGACAATTGAGCCCCAAGTGTTCTTAGGGGACAGAGAGCATCACTGTATTCAGGAAGAAGGTTAAAATATGGTCAGAGGTTAGCAGCAGTCAGTGTGGTATAATTTGGTTGGAAAGAACCCGGGTTTAGGAAGTCTGAAAGGGGAAATAAGAGAAAGGAAACTCAAGAGGAGAACAGCCTGTCTTCCTTAGTTCCAGATTCCCGGGTCATCACCTAGACAAAGTTTGGCTCCTTTTGGCTTTTCCCTACTCTGTTGAGGGTGGGAATTTTGCAGAGGAAAGGGGAGGGGGCCCTTAGTTGGGAAGCTAAATAAAAATAGCATCGGAGAATAATTCTTTCTTCTTTCTGAAAGAAGAATTCATTCTTTACAATGCCAATGTAGGGAGAAGATGAAAACTATTTCAGTTTTGTGGCCTTGTGAATAGAGCTGGTGGAGAGGAGAGTGGCCTAGGCAGCTCTGTGGGCTGATGTGTCCATCTTATTTCCTTGTGGAGGCAGCAAGGTGGATTATAAGAGTTGTATATCGCCCTTAGGCAGAACTGCTCTGTATTAATGCAGTGTTCAATTAACAAGATATTACTGATCATCTTCTATGTACAAGGCATTTTACTAGACAGTGCTTTGGAGGTTCACAAATAGAAAAAGACACAGTCCCTTCCCTGAAGGAGCTTACAATTCAGTAGGAAGAATAGGCATATGCAGTATTGTTAACCGTCAGGAATGTGGGCCCTCCTGTCTTCCTGAAAGTTAGAATTTTGTCTCAACTAGACTTTATACCATATCACTCTGGTGGTAGCTAAGGATCATAGGCACAAAGGCTTAATATTTATGGTGATACATCTGGCATCATATCACATTGGACCCCCGTTTCGCCTCTTGGACCTCTTTGCATTTCAGATATTCATCTGTACAATGTGATAATAAAAGGGTAATAGCCTCAAAGGATATTGTAAGGATCGAAAGTGATGACATATCGAAAGTGCCTGGTACATATAACATTCAGTATATATTCACTGCTATTATCATCATGCTTCTTTTTTTCATGATTATTATCATTACACAGTGAGCTGTGGCCCTAGAGAGCACCAACAAAGTTCTGGAGTACAAAGGAGGAAGAGATTATTTCCACATGCCATAATTAGAGACTTAACAAAGGAGGATACCTTTGATCTAGGCCTTACGTGGGTTGGATTTTCTATAGTCGGAGCTGGGGTATAAGGGAAGGGGTCATTCCAAGCAGAGGAAAATAGCATGGGCAAAGGCAAGGAGGTGGGAAAGTACAGCCCAGGTGACTCACACCTCATTTGACAACTAAGTTGGCTGGAGTATAGGGTACCTGAAGGATACAGGGTGAGCTGGCAGGCCGGCCCATTTGCAGAGGTCTAAATAACTGACACCATCCTTTCAAGTCTAGACTTCAGTAGTTCTGCTTCATGGAAATTCCTAGTACTTCTGTGGATTAAAAAAAAATTATGATGGAAAACTCCTAACACATACAAAAGTAGAGAGTCATATAATGAACCTCCATGTACTAACAGTTATCAACTATTAATCTTGCTTCACCCACCCCTTTACCCATCCCACCCTTTTATTCTGCTGAAGTATTGTGAAGCCTATATGCTTTTTTGTTTGGTTGGTTTTGTTTTGTTTTTTTGTAAAGACTAGCACACCACTTCTCTGGCTATGAAGAATCCATTAAGACTGAGTAAACTGGGAATTAGAGCTTTGTGACTATGTATACATAAAACCAATGAATCTTGGTTATGCAATATGCTTTTCCCTCCCTGCTCAGCACAGCCTTGTAAGGCTTGGACGATCAGATGGAGTTTTTTT